GGAGCTTCACACACAGGCGGAAGTGTGAAGCGACTCATTAAGCTTCCAACCCTGCCCCATTGATTTGGTCGCTTGTCTCCCAGCCAGTCCCATCCTCTTTGTGCCAGCCTCCTGGGATTCATCCATGGTGGGGTTGGGGGCTCCAGGTGGTCTTGAGATCGACTCATCTTTGGAGGACCCAATCCCCTGTCCCTGGAGCAGGAGCAGGCTTCCCTCTGATCGGAGGAGGTGGGGGACAGAAGAGCTGGCAGCATCCTGCTCTTGGAACTCTTGTCACCATGGAAACAGAGAGCCGGGACTGCTCTGTGAGCAGAGAAAGGGCAGCAGCTTCTCAGGAGAGATCAGAGGAACCTCATTACTGGGCCCTCCTGCCAGCTGGCCTGAACAGGGTTGGGGGGTGGTCACAGGGTGACTGGCCTGTCACACTACCCCATTTCAGGGGCCAATGTTAACTAGCTGCTCCTCCATACCTCCTGGAGCTCGCCTGGCAGGGAGTGATTCCAGAGAGCTAGTACCCACCCGGCTGGGGAGGGACCTTGTGGAAAGGGGCATCAGAGGGCAGGGGTGAGTTTCAGATCAGTCTGGGGGCCACTGCTACCCTCAGCCCAGCATGTCTGAGATCACCGCAAGCCCAGTTACTGGAAAGGGCTTTTTCACGCTCTTCCTCGTTATCACCATCACCCATAATTATGCCAGGCTGTCCTTGCTGCCGCTGGCCCTCTGGCCAACAGCCAGCCTCAGGCAGGATCATTACTATGGTCGCCACTGTCACTGAGAGTCACCTCAGTACTGTCACCCCCGTTCTGCCACCTGAACCCATTGCCCCGCCCCTGTCACCGCAGCCAGCCAGACACCTCCAGTCCTGTGACACCTGCACTCTCCCTTCCCCGTCTTTATCCCTGCAGAGCCTCCTCTGTCGCCACCCAGTTTGTGTGTAGACACCTACTTGGCTGGTGCCGGGAAGGGGAATTTGAGGGGGTGGGGGGGAAGTATCTCATCAATAACTGATTACTGAGTCCCTGTGCTAGGACCTGATCTGGTCTTCAACCACTGTAAGTGCCTCTGGTGAAGCCTCCCTCACAGACCATTAGAACCAGAAGACTAATAGATAGACCTACACTTCTCTGCATAAAGCTCAGCATGCTAGCTTCTTAAAACCCTTTTCTTAAATAGAATTGCAGAATACTGTCTGTTCTAGTCCCTATTTGGAGAATTGCAGTGGGTATTGGTCCATTAAAGGATCTGACAAGTCCTACAGTAAAGAAAACTTTTGCTTTGTGTTAACCCAGTGTTTCCCAAACTTCTTCTTCTTCTTTTTTTTTTTTTTTT